GTGTGGGTGGTGGCTTTGTGGGGCGTCGCGTGGCGAGTTGCTTTGTGGAGCGTGGCGTGGCTGGTTGCTTTGTGGAGCGTCGCGTGGCTGGTTGCTTTGTGGAGCTTCGCGTGGCTGGTTGCTTTGTGGAGCGTCGCGTGGCTGGTTGCTTTGTGGAGCTTCGCGTGACTGGTTGCTTTGTGGAGCGTCGCGTGGCTGGTTGCTTTGTGGAGAACGCGTGGCTGGTTGCTTTGTGGAGCTTCGCGTGACTGGTTGCTTTGTGGAGCTTCGCGTGACTGGTTGCTTTGCGAGTTGAGTCTTTGAAACGAATTCCCTCAAAGTACTTGAGACTCATCAGAGTAGTGCTTAACACCATAGTAGTGGTGAAACATCATAGAACTGGTGAAACATCATAGAACTGGTGAAACATCATACTGCTGGTGACTCATCAAACTGCTGATGAAACATCAAAGTGCTGTCTCTGTCACTATACGGTGACTCTACCACCAAATGTGGCTCTACAACTAGATGGTGGCTCTACCACTATACGGTTGATCTACCACTATACGATGGCTCTGCCACTAGACAGTGGCTTTACCACTAGACAGTGGTTTTACCACTAGACGGCGGCTTTACCACTAGACGGTGGCTCTATATCTATATGGTGGCTCTACCACTAGACGTTGGCTTTACCACTAGACGGTGGCTTTACAACTAGATATTGGCTTTACCATTAGATGGTGGCCTTACCACTAGACGGTGGCTCTACCACTAGATGGTGCCTCTACAACTATATGGTGGCTCTATAACTAGTTAGTGGCTTTAGAGGTGGTCAGTTTCAGGTCATGTCACGATAATCCAACAACTGCAGTTGGACATATGTCAAAGATGGAATTGCTCAACAGTTATAAGTAATCACCTGGGGGGACTTGGGCAGAAATGGCAATAGTTGTCTGATACGCGAGAGAACAAGGTTATGAAGCCCTATTCAAGTTTATACGCCCGCCGTGTCTTGTTGAATGAAAGGGCGTAGGACTTACATCTTTAAAATGTCCCTTTCTTTTTTCCCTCTCAGACCCGCCTTTGACCCCCGGGGGAGACTACAGATTTAGTCTGTTTCTCAGGAACAAGGACAGACCAGACAGGTTCAAAATATCCGTCCAGTTGAGCAACCAGGTGGGTCGCATAGTTGTGTCTTGGCTTTTAATAATGTTGATTATTTGGTTCAGTCAATTTTTGTCATTTAAAGCATTCAAAAAACAGTCACGCCGGCAAATACCCCCCCCCCCACCAAAAAACAACAACCAAAAACACCAAAAAAAAACAACAACAAACAAATACATTGAAACGATTCATTCTAACGATCTGTATTCAGATTCTAACTGTTTTTAAAATTGCAAAAACAATCAAGTAACACGTAACAAAAATCCGGGAACCGCACCCCCCCTCCCACTTGAAAAAACAAACAACAACAAACAAACAGACAAAACCCCCCAAAGACCGCTAACGGTTGAGGTGCAGGTGGGAGGAGCAGTTCAGTTGATCTATGCACGGAAACCAATTGCCTGCAATGATACAAGGCGAGACGATTAGCTTGCAATGATACAAGGCGAGACCTTTAGCTGGCAATGATACAGGGCGAGACCATTAGCTGGCAATGATACACGGCGAGACCGTTAGCTTGCAATGATACAAGGCGAGACCATTAGCTTGCAATGATACAAGTTGAGACCTTTAGCTGGCAATGATACAAGGCGAGACTATTGGCTTGCATTGATACAAGGCCAGACCATTAGCTGGCAATGATACAAAGCGAGACCATTAGCTTGCAATGATACAAGTGGAGGCCATTAGCTAGCAATGATACAAGGCGAGACCATTACAATGATACACGGCGAGACCGTTAGCTTGCAATGATACAAGGCGAGACCATTAGCTGGCAATGATACAAGTTGAGACCTTTAGCTGGCAATGATACAAGGCGAGACTATTGGCTTGCATTGATACAAGGCCAGACCATTAGCTGGCAATGATACAAAGCGAGACCATTAGCTTGCAATGATACAAGTGGAGGCCATTAGCTAGCAATGATACAAGGCGAGACCATTACAATGATACACGGCGAGACCGTTAGCTTGCAATGATACAAGGCGAGACCATTAGCTGGCAATGATACAAGTTGAGACCTTTAGCTGGCAATGATACAAGGCGAGACTATTGGCTTGCATTGATACAAGGCCAGACCATTAGCTGGCAATGATACAAAGCGAGACCATTAGCTTGCAATGATACAAGTGGAGGCCATTAGCTAGCAATGATACAAGGCGAGACCATTACAATGATACACGGCGAGACCGTTAGCTTGCAATGATACAAGGCGAGACCATTAGCTGGCAATGATACA